ATCCAAATATTTTTTGTGAAATCTACGTCTTGTAATATCAAAACTACGTGTTGTGGTCTTTCTTTAATGTATCGCGTTATGACATTTTGTATATCATTTTCGGATTCGGGGAATTACTGTACAACATGTACAAATTTCAAGACAATAAAACCGTCGCAGGCATGAGATGGAGATTTTGACAAGAGTAAACACGGCACATAGAGAGATAAACTTTAAATATGGCTGAAATTCCGAACCTTGGAGTTTTAAGAAATAATACTAATACCCATCACCGAAGTAAAAGAGTCTCAGCTATGACTCCCTTGGAGGTCAATGTGTTTATTTCAAGTAAGAAGGAGTTGTATGAAATATCAGATATCCTTCACAGCCTTCACAACCTTTCTACCTCTGTCGCAGTGAAGGTTGCAACATTATGAAACATCATAGGTAATTGCAGCAGACCAAAGAAGTGTTTATCTTGAGATGTACAAAAGATTCAAACTTGGTTCGCTCTACCGCTGGTGCTATCAAATGTACTACGAAGAGTTTTTTTGCCGTTTATCAGTTAAGTAGAGGTCAGAAAGATTTGCTTATTTGTTTTGTTGTTAAGCTCAAAGCTACACAATGGGCTATCTGTGCTCTACCCACCCATAGGTATCGAACTCCGAATTTTAGCGTTATAAGCCCTCAGATTTATCGATAAGCTAGCGGGGAGCTTTCCAAGAAGGATCTACTACCGTGTATAAAGATGTGTGTTTGCTTCTTTTGGTATGCTGTATATGCTATCACTTTCTGTTTATTTAAATTACAGTGACTGGAAGAAGAAGGGTATATACAAGTAAAGGAAAAAACTTTAAAAAAAAGAAGTAATTGTAGGGATGGCTAATATCAATCCTTCAAAAACAATGCAAACAAGATAGTAAAGATGGTATTTGCATCATCCCTACATAATAGTAAAATGTTAACAGACAAAAATAGGATAAATTGAATTCAATTGTGATCGAATAACTATATATATATTACTATATGTTAATTCCTGCCTGTGCTATTATGTAGGAATGATGCAAGTGCCACTCCTGCTATCTTGTTTGGTTGTTTTTTATGCAGTGTTTCAATAGACATAAGAAGGTTGTACTTATGATCAAGTTCTAAATAAAATGAGGTTCCACCTGTAATATTTATTGTTTATCTATTATTGACTGGTAATTCCTATTTCACCTTGTACATAAGCTTTTTAAAGGAACACTGACTTCCTGAAAAAAAGCTAGCTTCAAGGGGTAATGATAACATCGTTTACACTAGAATTGTGATTTTTTAAAATTACTACTAGTTATTAATAATACATATAAAAGCAGATACTCAGTTTGTAACTATGTCTCCTCAGTGAAATTGGTTGACACCATTGTTTTGGTTTTTGAGTTATCATGTAATAAAAAAGAAGCAGAAGAAAGAAGAACCAGAAATTCAAACTTTTTGCTATGATATTTGCAGACATTCCCAGAACTTGTGACTCAGTCATTACATGGATATTTTTATAAAAAGAAAACTGTATATTATTGTTAAGTTCTGATAACCTATTGAGGAGATATTTAAAATACCATTTTAATGAACAGTCCGAGCCATCCCTATATAGGCAGTGCTACCGCCTGTCTGATATATATGCAGGTATAGATGTTTTTATGTACATGTAAGACTACTCAAACAAAAGATAACCTAAAACTAAGTAATTCTTATAGATGTAAACTTATTATTGTGTATTACGTGGAAGGTGACACATATGATGAGTAAAAAAGTAATATATGCACAAAATGCACACAGGTACATGTGTAGTATATTAAGTCAAGGATAAATGTAGAAGCAGGTCGTCATCTTGGTTGGTGGAGAATCATGTTCAGCACAACATTAAAGTTTTTCTTTAGGTTTTAGATGCATAATTAAGTTTTAAATTTGAGTATAGTAGCTTGATATTTTGTTTCATTTTAACATATGTTGTGTGAAAGTTGATGATAAGTGATTGTATTGCACTTTATGAACCTTGTTCGTTTTTCTATTTGATTTTGGTAAATAATGTCCGTACGTACATATGTACGTTAATTTGCCTAAAATGTAAGATCTCATTATAAGTACAAAGAGACATAATGACTTTAAGCTTGTACCATATTTCACTCCTCAGTTTTTTACCTAAGGACTAAAAGATGTCACTATCGAGTCTTTTCTATTTGGCTTATTATTTCATAACAACGTGAAAGACACAGTTTTGTTTCTTTCTTTTTTGAAAAATATGTATTTTTATATCCTACTACAAGGACTGTTTATTGTACATGACATAGTGGCAAAATATGTTTGTTATTTTAATATGATTGACCTAAATTAATACCTGAATTTAAGAGATTCTTAATTACAGATGACTTACTCCGTAAAATTAGAAATCACAGCTTATCATATTCAATTTATGTAAAAACTCCATCTAACGCCATATCACAGCTGAAACCAAAATCTTCTGAATTAAACGTTGTATTTTACAAAATAATTATGGCGGCATCACAGTTGTCAGGTAAGAGTGAAATGAAATATAAAAGCACTAGGTATTGGTTTATCAATAACTCAAGTATTGTTCCAGTTTCGAATGTTTTTAAACCCCTACCGATGGTTTTAAAAAGATCACTTGAACGCTCGAATGATTCTTGTTTGACTTACCATCAAGAAGATAAGATTTTGTAAATTATTTTCATCAACTTCGTCACCTAGGTGAAGTCCGAAGAGAAAGATGGTGAATCAAGAAATAAAATATTAAAATATCTGCTGTCTTGCATTTGTGAATGCTTCCTGTGTAGTGAAGGAGCGTCTTGGCCAAACAGTACCAGAGAGCTTTCTGAAGAAACTCACGAACTTCATCTGAAGAAGGTTCGTCAATTCTCCAGTGATGAACCAAATTCTGGGGTTGAAATTGTGAATTTATTGTCTTCATTATATAAAGAAGCTATATATGTAATCAATATTTGCTTTAACCAGGCTAGTCTAAGTTTATACAAATATCGTATCAATAGTTTGGTTTAAAAATGGCACAGTGTACATAAAAAAATAATAATCAAAGACTTTATCAACATGATTTACGGCTCTAAATCGAGGGAATATTTTACCCTGGTTCATAGAATACTAATTAAATTTTACTTTGATGATTGCGAAAGAAACTATTGAAACATTGCCTTTTTCACCCCCAGTGAAGGTTCATCATTTCTTCCTGATAGACAGCAGAACTGTGTAGAGTTACCATGAAAACTTTTTAAGTTCAAAGTAGAGTTTTTTGTTGTTGTTTTTTCAGGAATAACAAGAGTTGGTTTTTCAGTGACATCTGATGGAGAAAATAGCAAGATTTAACTTTAGAGAGAGTACGTAATGTTGAATTATGTTTAGAGGTAGGTCATCAAGTTTCATAAAAAATGTACATTATAAGATTAAAGGTCTATTGTTTTTCACCTGATAAATATTTCTGTATTTTGCAGATGGCCAACAGAGATTATGAGAGCTCCAGTCCTCGGACATCTCAAAGAAACGCCAATAACTTAGAGGATGACACCGACCAGCAATACAGTAATTTACCTTCCAAACTGTATGGGACATTAAAAAAAGACAAAAAGCCTTTTACTTACACTCCCGGAGGTATCGATTTATCAGAGATCAGGTCACCTCGTATGGCCAAGAGGATTATAGCCAACCAACAAGATCCTGGTGTGGCTGCTAAACCTAAACCTCCTGGTGCCCTAGTTCAGGCTGAGGTCCACACCCCAGAAAACCGCGTTCCATCACAAACAATACCTACGAGGCAACCAGTGTTACCAGTAATGATAAACCAACAGCCAGTGTTACCACCACTGTCAAATCCATCTTACTCCACGGGTCCGAAATTAACCCCTCAAAAACAGAAAGTGGATGCTTACCCTACAGAATATGTTGATGAATCATACAATACACAAAGAGAGAATACATCCCGGCAATTGCAAGGGTACGGGGAAGTCGAGCGTTCCTCAGTCACGTATTTGTATTTACAATGATAATTTTATTTCAATAGATAATCAGAATGAATAACGAAGTTGGCTAGTTTTGTGAATGATCAGATTGAGTCATAAAAATTTTAGTATGTTAAACGATTATTAAAAGCACTTTTTAATGTTTGAACTCAATTCAGCCCAATTTAAGATAATACAACATACTACAAAAATTTCGAATCTGGTAATCATATTTAAAATATAAAAGATTTATAGAATAAATATAGTGAATTATTTTACTAAATAATTTCTTTTTCATGCTTGCTTGTTTTTTTTCTATATTCCAGTTTAAATCTAGCTAATAATGAAAAAGATCCATACTATTTTGAGCCTCCGGAGCAGTACCCAAAAACTCTTCCTCCAAGTCACGGTATACGCCACGATTTGGATTCCCAGGAACCAAGAAATTTTGGACAATCACGTTCTTTCCGTGTTCTTCAAAAAATTACAAGCACCGATGAATCTGATGCCCAAAAAGGTTAAGTGTTTTCTCATCTAGAACTAGTGTATACAAAATAGCTTAAAATTCTTCTACGGTTTTGTTTTGTTAATGTGGCAATCTTTATCAGATTGTGCAAACAACAGATAAATAGATTTCTACAACAATGAAAGGACTTTAACTTTTAACAAAATAATTGTGCCTGTTCAAAGTGCGAATGCTGATGGAATGAAAGAGGCAAGACACAAGATGTGTAAGAAATAAGAACACTGAAACAGTTGTACATTTAAATAACGAAGACAAAGCAAGTAGTTACAGATAATTGGTGATTTTAGCTTTGATGAGGCGATAAGATTAAATAATAATGTGATTGTATTTACGGTAAAGTTACCAAAACTAACTGCTGTTGTCTCTGATTTTCAACTACTGACCAATGGGATGGAAGTCAGTCAGTAGCACCCTATCATCCACGCTAAATGTTTACTGTCATTATTATAACGCATCCATAAGTGCGGGGAATATTTTATAGTATTGCAAATATTCGACTCCGGTTCGCAAACTCCGTAATCCAGAGCTATACCACAAGGCCATACGGCGCCCATTTATGCTAGATAACTGAATATAAAGTTATTAACAATACAGGATAACGTGAAATGGCAGTCTGATGTAACCAAATTAACTCCACGGAGATGTTTGTTTGTTCCAGAACTTTCGCGCAAAGCTGCACAAAGGTTTATCTGCGCATAGCCGTCATTAATGCTGAACTGATAGACTAGAGAGGAAATGTAGATAGTCAACACCACTAACTTTTGGGCTATTCTTGTCTTGCCGAATAGTGGAATTTAACCGTCACTCTTACAGCACTCGCGAACCATAAACCTTCTGATTCTCAGTACAAGCACGCTAACCACTAGGTCATGCCCAAACTATCCACAAGACAAAGATAAAATCAATTAGACATAGTAGCTTTCATTAAGATCCAATATGGCACTACAGTGTTGAAACTCAAGTGTGGCAACCGAACTCAAGACGAACATCAAATGGGTTAATGGTGCCTTTTATCTAACAACCCCTATAATAAAGCAACAACCCTAAAAAGGTTTTTGTCATGTCGGTCGGTCACAGTGTAGTCGTTCTCATGACTAAAAATAAGTAAGATAAAGCAAAAATCGAAACCTGTGGCTTCAATTATCAGGTAGTCTTTTTTAACCAAGTAAATTTCCTTGTTTTGAATGTTACGTCTCTCCATTTTCACTTCTTTAGTTATTAAAGACGAAATTTTGGCATGGCTTTAGAGCTATATCAACCAACATTTAGTCCATGAAATCAACTTTGTGATATTGTTTTTTGCTATTTTCCATTTCATTATACAAATACGTTTTCTTATACTGTGTATTAGAATGTTATATCATTATAACCTTAAAAGTAATGTAGCCTGTCCTTAAAAGCCTCGTAGTAAATTTAAGCAAATGTATTTTGCCTGAGAAGTAGAATCGCGGGTTCGAATCACTCCTAATTTCAATTTTAATTTGTTCAGTAAACTTGTCACTTCACAGGATGATGTTCTACTCTTAGCATTTCCCAAAACAGAAGAACATAGTGAAGCACATGAATTTTATATACACTGAGTTTACGACTCCACAATAACCCCCAAAACAAGTGATAATCGAAAATATAATTTTTCAAAGTGACGTTACTGTAAGTTTTACAAATGAATATCAAAGTGAAAAATTAAACAATGTGAATAAGAGAAGGCTGTCTCTAAAATTTTGCCGTGAGCTGAAATTGTAACTAAACAATCTCAATTAAGTTAAGGCATATATTAGCTACAACAATTTCAATAAGGTTAAGGCATATACTAACTACAACAATGTCGGTTAAAGTTAAGGCATATATTAACTACAACAATGTGAATAAAGTTAAGGCATATACTAAATACAACAGTATCAATAAAGTTAGGCTATAGACTAACTACAATAATGTCAATAAAACTAAAGCATACACTAACTACAACGAACTAAAGTCAGTGTATGTAAACAGTAGTTTTTTTTTTGAAATATGTCTCTAAGCCTATGTTTAATACTGCCTATTTCTTGAAACATCTTAGCAGGCTTGATATTAAATTTTTTACTACTGGCACGGCACATTGGAACTATCTAAACAATTACCTTAACGTTCTCTTAACATAACTCACATAATAAAACTTAGTTTTGTAGGGTCACACCGAAAACTAGCATTTTAACTGGGTAGTAGCAGCATCAGGTAGAAGAAACCCAAACCTCACAAAACATATTTTTGCTGCTATTCTCAGTTGATAAATCAGTATTCTTCAGTCCTAGGAGATCTGGCTACTTCTAATATGGGTATCGCTTAGTATTCTGAGCATAAAAAGTGGATGGTTCTCACTGAATGGGCGCGGGTTGGTCCTGTGGTAGAACTATGGATCACGGAGCTGACGAGCAAAATTCGAATTTTTTTGATACCATAAAATATTCCCAACTCTTTAAGCTCTGGATGCGTTATAAAAGTGATAGTCAACCTCTCAGCATGTATGGTATGTGTTAGAGTGTTGCTGACTGAATGATATTCCTCTGGCCGGTAGTTCAAAATTAGGGACGGTAGCAGATAGCTTTAAATACAAATTACTCACTGAATGATTTATTTTAAAAGTTAACCTGATTGCACGTAACAGTTTACTTATATGGTGAATTTAGACGTCAGCTTCATCACAGTGGTAAATTCATAACAAAGAATTATAAAGAAATACTTTTACCAACAGTTAGATTAAATGTACCACATTTTGATGATAAAAAGTTAGAAAAAAAAAGACCTTTAACCTCATGATAATTATATGAGAACTTTTATTTTAACCGACGTTTCGCCTTTGCGGCTTCTTCAGTGCTAGTACATAAAACTGTTTGATATTAAAATATTTGTTAAATTATAAAACTCTTTGCAAAGTTCTATTTCTCAAGTAATTCACATTTTATCTATGTGCAGTATGTATTCACTTTGCCATTATCTATTATTTATTCATAGAATAATAAAAACTATTAATGACCTATCGTGAAATGGATCAAAAATATAACTATTATATATTATTATATTATACTATTATTTTATATATATATATATATATATATATATATAACTCTTGTACAGTCTATTTACAATTAAAAGCAATACAACGTTAAAATCTTACACAATAAATAATTATTAAAAACGGGGACTTGCCCTAAAATACTCTACATATGTTTCGATGTTTGTAAGACACCATCTTCAGTAGTTTTTAAATTATTTATTTAAATCTTGTACATTTTTTTACAAAACATTAAATATAAGTTTCGATTTCCGGACTAGTCAGTGTCATCTCCTAAAATATCCATATTTCTTCTTATAGAAAGTTATGATAACCCTGAGCAGTTGGATGAAACTGTTATCGAACCTCGTTACAAAGGAGGAAATATACCATCTTACGCTTTCAAAATTCTGCAAGAGATGACAGGGAGCAACGAAGGAGAAGGTAAACAGCCTGGTTATCAGCTTATTACATGTATAATAATGGCACAAGCTTGTTGCAGACGTCACTTGGTAACATTTTAGGTTATTAAGGTTGCCTGGCTACTAGACGACGTAATTATGTATATATATGGAAATTCAGGTACTTCGAAAATTTGAGCTGGTTTTGATGATACTATGTGTTTTTAACACAAGAGAAGGTGAACTTAGATGCACTTATAGAACATTAAGGGAGTATTGTTAAGTTGTTCAACTCTGGAAAACATTGTATTATTGTATTTGATACTATTATTGTATATTAAGAATTTAACAAGATTATATGTTTTCAGGTCAGAGAATCACTAATCACCAAAGCGTCATGAAAATCGGTACATGCACTCCACATCACTAAGGTTCTCCATTTCAGTTTTATGAAGAAATATTAGGCATTAAATTAAACATATTTATCTGACTAGAATAGTTTTAAGTGGAGTAATCAAAATTTTTTATTATTTGTTTTGCATTGTTAAGTCGGTACTGTCGATCTGCAGATGGATGTAATTAAGCATCACGTGCAAGCGTTCGAAAAAAATACGTACAAGCTGCTCTTATTACAATATTTGCCTAAAACAACTTGGGAATTTCAGGCTTAATTCAGTTGCGTGTCTGTTCGTGAATGTCGTTTCAGCAAATAAGAGCTTCGAAAAACAGATTCAAACGACACCATAGCCTGATATGTTATTTAAACGCCGAGTTATATTTAGTCACCATTATTTTTGAAGTCATTGCTACTCTTTCCAAATTAGCTAGTAACCTGATCACACAAAATAATTAGGCATTTCAAAAGCCCAGCGAACATAAGACACGTGATCCTATGTTTTGTATTCATTTTTTGGAAAGAATCCTGGAAGCCTAGCAATAGTGCTGGCATGATTCCTTTAATAAAAGATGTGTTGTAAATGTTAAAAGGTTAGGTAATGATATGTGTACAATGATATACACAAGTGCTCCCTAAATCGATGGAATGTTAGTTAATGTTAAACGTAATCTTATTTTGTTCAGATTTGGTCTCTGCCCAAATTTTCAGTCACGCCTGTGTTCAATATTTCAAATATTGTTAAACATATATATTTATGTCTGACTCTGTGAAACAACTACTGGTCTACATATATTTGACCAATTAATTTGTTCGTGTTAATTAAAATTAGAAACGTGCACAGAAATGAGTTATTTCAACGACATCAATAAGTAATATTTATTTCTCAAGTTACCGCTGTTTTTTTAACATCACTCCTTGTGACCGAAGGTGTAATTATCCTTACACCTTTTTTTTAACGGCGTTTTTAAAAATAATATTTTACAATGTTTCTCTACACAGCTAATACCTATATTTTAATCTCTAAATGGGGTGTTATTTTGCCATATTAACTTTAATTTTAAGTTATAAACTGTCCAAGTGGTGTGATCGAAATTTCGCGTCGATGAAAGCGCCCATGATAATACATTTATGGATCAAGAAAATCCTACTTAGGAAAAACAAATATTGAACATCAACTGTAGTTAAAAAACATTAATATAAACAGAAAAGAGCAATTTCTAAACAATACATAAAAACTGTTAATTGATAACGGCTAAACCGTTAACAGCCACGCTGTCCACTAGTAATTTATAGTATTCACTAATTCAGATTCGTTTAACTCGCACTAAGCAGAATCAGGAGGGGGACGGAATTTTGACGACGCGCTCAGAATAAAAAGATAATCGGCATTTCTAGACATCTTTAAACGCAAAAAAAGTTGTAGATGAAGATAAAATGCTAAAATCATCAGAACCGTCGGCAGACCAGTGTGTGCGTCGCATTATCCAATTAGGAATTTCATCAACTTTAGCTGGACATTTGCTACATTTTTCTCGGAATTTTTGTTGTTTGCCTAAAAATTTCTTTGCAACAAGAAATTATGTTTCTCCCGAGATTTCCCCAAATAGGCAGGTAAAAAATTTTGCAGACAGTATTCACAGAAAATTAGTTTGTACTCATAGATGGAATAATGGGTTTTGGGGTGGTACCCCCTTCACTACTCCCCGAAGCGGAATTCTTAAAATATCCGATTCAAGGTTATCAATGGCTAAGGCTTTTTCAATGAGAAATCAGATGAGTCAACAATGACCAAACAGAAAGCCGAGTGTCAACGTAAAAAAAAAATATTTGTAATTGAAAAATTAAAATTTAACGTATGAAAAAATAATCATTGCAAATTAATTATTAGTAAGTAAATAAGCGTTCTCGTGTTGAAACTTTTCCCTAATGATTAAAAATTAGAAATAAATTTTAAACTGACAGTTTACTACAAAAGATGTTTAAGTTATTTTCTCGTGTTTTACAGTACCTCAGTCGCCCTCTGCAGTTCATCCGAACAGAAGAGCTTCTAAAACTCAAATGCATGTACTAGACCCCCAACAGCCACTTCCTCCAAAACAGTTCCCTCATCCGGAAGTACCCGCCTCACAACTTCCTAGCGAGCCCGAACCAAAGAAATACACTGGTGGAAGCATCCCATCACGGTCTTTCCGAATGCTTCAGACGATGACAGGAGGAGATCCAGAAGCAACTGGTAATGAACACATTATGTTGTTGCCTATATAGTCAAGCACGTTCACTAAATACATAAAACCATGAAAACAAGAGTACCTTGATACATGTTAGCTATAGAAAAAAAATACCAATGTAGATTTCTTAAGAGGATTTATCTGAATATATTTATTGATAGTAAAAATAACTTCTGGTGGCTTAGTGAAATCGGGAACTAAAATACCAAATATAAAATCAGTTTAATATCGAAGTGAAATAAGCAATGTACCTTAGAATTGAATATTAATTTATATTGATAAGAACTCGTTTGGTTATAAACTTAGGATCACTTTAACCATTAGGCATCATCCAAATGAATTAAAATTCAACACATGTGAACTTTGTGTACCACATCGCTAGTACCTTTGTTACCGAGGTGACACACGGAATATTACCCCGAAATTGAATGTCAACATTAGTTCTACACTTGGTAAAGAAGTCTGTCAAAATCCTACGTTTCAAAACTATTTCTGCAATTGAACACCTACCAGTTTTCGTATTTTCAACAAAATACCATTCTGACAGCCTTTAAGCTGTTCGAAAAAGAAATGTTTAATCGGGTAATTCGTTTTCGATAAAGACAAACATTACAGTTGTCCCCTGGTGGGACAGAGTAAGTCTTCGGATTTATAATGCTAAAATCAGGGATTCGATTCCCCTCACTGGACACAGAAGATAGCCCAATGTGGCTTTGCCATAAAAAAAAACATTAGAATTTATCCTTGTTTGCTTGTGTATGTTCCAAATAATTTTGAAAAGTGTGAACTTGAAGTATCTATTTACTCTAAAGTGAAGTAATCTACACACATGCAATTTTATAGCATAACAAATAATTGGGTAATTTATCTTAAACTTGTAACTATTACTCCCTGTCAAATTGTTACATATATAGCAGTAGCTTTTAGAAATGCATCATTCTGAAAAGCCTAGTAATGTGATTAAGCTCTAATTTAAGATATTTTTTTCTTTATTTTAAATGTGAGACTGTTGTCATCACTTAAATTCGATATACCATATAACACAGCCTATATAAATAGTGTTAATGGGCGATTCTTCCACTACGATGAGGTGATGATATGATATTTCAGTTGTCACAAAAACACCAAAATTTTAAAAAGAACAATAAACCGGAACTAATAAGATCGCAATATATTATTATTTTTTGAATGAACGCTATATGTTGAACTAAAAAAAAATTGTTAGTAATTATGTAAAATCAATGAATGTGGAAATAGAAAAAGAAATATTTGCAACGTTTAATTATTTTCGAACGAATTATTAGATTTAACAGTTTTATTCCCAATAGTGCACAAGATGTAATATGCCTATTTCGTTTCAGATGCGAAATACAATTAACGATGTTCAAAATCAGAAGGTAGCTTTCGAATGTTGGACTTTAACAAACATACTTAACAAGAGCATAATCAGATAAGACGTTTCATTAGCTAGTAATTTCTAATCGTAGTACTCATACCTCACTGAAAATAAATTTTGAAAAGTGAACGTTTTCTAAAAAAGGATATTTCTGGAAAGTACTACACGGGAAAAGTGTTTGGATTGTGCTCATATAAATTGTATTGTTTTTATATATTAAAAGTGGTACCATTTATTGAAAAAATAACAGGTTTTTTTAAGAACTCCATTTCTTAGTACTATATTTAAAATTACATCAATAAAGATATAATCAAACCCTCACGTACAGTCCTAGTGAAAATAGTGTTCTTTGTTGTGAGGAGAGTACTTTTATTTAAAATTGTGTTTTGCGATAAAAAAAAATGGTTGTTGCACATACCGTAGTTAGTTTTCTAATTGTCTGAAACTTGAATACCGAAAATGTAAGCTTTTTATGGATTTTTGTTTGTGGTGACATTCGATAGATGGCGTCACATTGGATTTAATATTTCGGACACGTACATAGATACATATATACACGCTACGTCTGTTATAGTAAGCTTACTACTAAAGGATTGAAATGTTTATTAGTTTATTAGTTTTAAAGAAGATTAGGCGTTAACATTTTTCTAACAATGTATAATTTGAACAACAGAATTTATCAGAGAAATTTTGGGCAAATATTTCTTGTGATACTTGGATATAACGAATGATAGTAGCTTGGCAGGAGACGTTGTTGAGTCCTGAATTTTATTTCATTGGAATGGTGAACAATGATTCAGGGTATCTTCAGATATTAACAATGTATTATCGTAGCAACAGTGGAAGCTAACATTTAATCTTGAGGTAAATATTCCTTGTACAAATTAGATCTTAACGACGTCAGTAGAGTGGTATAAAAAGTTGAGACATATTGAATTTCAAGTCATTTGTGTGGAGAATTGGAGCTCAAGGTACCCCGAAGTAAAAACAAGTTGAATTAGTTGTAAAATCTCGATATTGCAGTTTCCGGCTTGATTAAGTAATCTGGAAGTGTGAATCGGAACTATTTTTTGTTTTTTACTACTTTGTAAATTTTCGAGTTTTCTGTAGAAAACTATGACCAAACCGGATTCGGAGAGGTATTGTAAAAATTATTTATACTTTAGAAAGTAATGATAATTTATTTATATATATAAATTATTGTATGTATTTAAGAACTTAATTTTTTATAGAACCAAAAATCTATCTTTGAGATATTTGTAATTTTATCATTTTTCAGTTCACATTGGTTATTCAGATATTGGTCAAACACTAAGGCCTATTTAATCTTCTTCTCTAGGGCCTGAAGGAACAGATTTTTAAGGTAAAAAAGATGTTTTGCAGATAAAGTTGTGATATTACATAACCGCTTGGCCTGGCTGAAAGAAATGTGCTTCAGCAAACCGGAAAACAACTGGAAGCTTAATGTCTTTCCCTGTCTTCGTCTCAATAGTAGAAGGAAAAAAAAAAGGTGTTGTGCTGAAGAAAAATGGACGAACTAAACCGTTCTCGTATTGTTGTTGTTGTTTCGTTTTTATGTACAAAATTGTCTAACTTTCCCAAGAAAGCCACCCCCCCCCAAAAAAAAAACATACAAATAGCGCGTTTGATACATCTTTGATTAGAATCCAAAATCTAGGTGCTGACTTATTGTACGTGTATATTATATTGCTACTTTTTTACTAGCTCTAATTTCATAGTACAATTTGTGGATTCGAGAAAATTTAGCGAAGTAAAACTCGAGAAAAAAATTGTTTATGCACGTCATTCGTTGATTTTAAAATGCAAATTTTTATTAATACTGTGTTATATGATACAGTATTAAACGCTATGGTTAAAGTCCTAATTTTTGATATAACTCTGAATATATTCAACTGGGTCTGTAAATTTCGTCTTCTGTGAGAAATACATTCGCTTTTATCCTATTTTACAATTTTTACCATACAAGCTAACTATTATGATTATCTATATAGAATTAAAAGCTAATAGGTATATAGAGAGCAGTAAACTCGCTGTAAATCTTTTAATAAAACATGAATATCACTATTTTCAGGAGCCAGGATATACTATATTTTACACTTTTCCCACTTTTCTAGAAATGTATTGGTTTTTAAGTCTGAAGATACTAACAAAGCACCAAATTTCATCAAAGGTGAATTGACTGTGTCGGTGACTAGGTTTCACGATATTCAATATTATTAATGTTCTGTTATAAGGGGGTGTTGTTATTTATTTTACTGGAAAAAAGTAACAACATCAAATGCTGACGTATTTATAATGTAATTTATTATTGTCGGAGAACACTTTTTGTTGGTTGTTTTTTCATTGGGAGCGTTTAATTTGTTAAAACGTAGTTTTATAATAATAGAAGTTTGAAGGCTCTTTATCAGCTTGTTAGATGTGCCAGATTGTCTCATAATATTATCGTCTTGATAGAAACATTTCATTGGTTATCTAGTCATATTGCATCATTATTATTCAACTCCTGCACTATATATTATGAACTATGAATACGTTGTTCGTTTATGTTTCAGTGAAATATTGATTACTGTATTTTGCATTTCTTTTTTTCTCTGTTAAACTAACAAAAGATAAATATACAAAAACGTTTTTGTATTAACTCCTAGTTATATTACCATTTCACTTTAAACATTTATGAGCGGTTTTACCAAAAGAATATCATATAAATGAAAAGCTTGAGCTCAAACTCATCATTTAACAGCCATGTATCTATTGAACAGAAACAGTTATTTTACTGAAATCAGATTATTGTGAAACTTCATACTGCTTCTACAGTTTGATAGTGTAGTGCCTGATTTGTTGCTTTACAACTGTTTTGACTACAGATTAGGAAGAAAAACGAGAGATATAAAATCGTTTTTGGTTGCTGTTTCATCTAGATAAAATCTCAAAGTGTCCACCGGGCATGTAAAATAAATATATGCAAGATGTGTGAAGAAATTAGTGTGACTAATTAGATGTTAGTGTATACACTGAGAACCTGTTTGTATAGAACTTTAAAGCGACATGACCATCGGCTGTTCGTTCAATAAACCAGTGTAAGTAGATTTCAAAGATCACCGTTGCTTGTTTACTAAAGGTGTGTTAATAAACTCCAAAATGATCATTTACAATAAACACAAATAAACATACTAGTATCTAAAGGCACAAACAGGTAAATACTTGATACTAGCTTGTTTGAACTCAATTATTTGGTAAGGGGGACATTTTGAAGCTTTTATATAATCTCTACTGAATGGTATTTAAATATGAAAACAAAGAGAAAAATATTCCTTATCAACTCATTTTCGTACGAAAACAAAAACTGTTGGTAGGATCAACTTGACGTAGTTTCATTTATAAATTACGTTTAGAACCCACGATTGGAGTACAATGCGGTAGATAATATTCATGAACAATATTAATTTCTTAATATATCTCAGTCTCTTCTTGCTAGCTTTAAATAATAAGTAATATTATTAAAATAGTTTATAACTTTGAAAGAATAAAACCTGTAAGACAGCTTCCTTAACCAAACAAAGTATTTTGTTCTTCTAACGGTTCATCATCTCACATTTGAAATGATACCCTAAAGAACACAAAATTCCAATTGATGAACATATAGACAAATTAACGGAAGCTGTAACAGTAAAACTGAAGACAACACCTAAATCAGCACATTTTCATGTTTCGATAATGGTTTGGATTTTGAATTTAATTTGAAGAGTAAACAGGGAATAAAAAGTATTATAAAAATTAGTTAGTTGTGTTTTTTATCTGTTTTACCCATACATTTAAAAGGTCAACATGTCTTCAATTTAAAATATATTTTACGACTTAACGTTGAAGAAAAAAAGGGTATGTTAGAGTAACAACGCAATAAAGATCATAAGATCACTACGTCTAGAAATGGTTAACTTGCCCTGTAGGGATTGCTGGTAAAATATAATTTGTAATTATACTTAGATTTGACGTGGACTACGGTAAGAGAGTTCAAGTTGTAGCTCATATGTTCTAAGATACTTTTCTGGTTGAACTGGAGAAAACCTATTTAAAACAGTAGACTGCGGTAAGAGATTTCAAGTGTAGCTCATGCGCTCTAAGATACTTTTCTGGTTGAACTAGAGAAAATCTATTTAAAACAGTAGACTGTGGTAAGAGATTTCAAGTGTAGCTCATGTGCTCTAAGATACTTTTCTGGTTGAACTAGAGAAAACCTATTTAAAACAGTAGACTGCGGTAAGAGAGTTCAAGTTATAGCTCATATGTTCTAAGATACTTTTTGGTTGAACTGGAGAAAACCTATTTAAAACATTAGACTGCGGTAAGAGATTTCAAATGTAGCTCATGCGCTCTAAGATACTTTTCTGGTTGAACTGGAGAAAACCTATTTAAAACAGTAGACTGCGGTAAGAGATTTCAAGTGTAGCTCATGCGCTCTAAGATACTTTTCTGGTTGAACTAGAGAAAACCTATTTAAAACAGTAGACTACGGTAAGAGAGTTCAAGTGTAGCTCATGCGCTTTAAGATACTTTTCTGGTTGAACTAGTGAAAACCCATTTAAAACATATTATAATATTCAGTTATTTCAGAACACTTGATACTCTCACAATAATTTTCTTTCGTCAACTTTAGCATTATACACCAGATAAGAAAAAAGAAATATTTGCAGAGTTGAATGTCTTTACGTTTCTTGAAAAAGTAACAGGTTTTTTAAGAATTCCATTTTTTAGTATTATATTTACAAATTACATCAATAAAGATATAATCAAACCCTCACGTACAGTCCTAGTGAAAGTCGGGTTTTTGTTGTGAGGAGAGTACTTTTATTTAAAATTGAGTTCTGTGATAACGAAATGGTTGTTGCATATACCGTAGTTCGTTTTCTAATTGTTTGAATCTTGAATACTCAAAGTGTGAATTTGTTTATGGATTTTTGTTTCTGGTGTCATTCAATAGATGGCGCAATATTATATTTATTATTTCGGTCAGGTATATACAGTGTATATACGCTACGTCCGTTATAGTAAGCTTTAGAGGTGAGGTTGAACAGCACCAAAGTTTAGCGGTAAAATTCCTATATCACGCTTCTAACATTTTAAAATCGCTCTTCACGTATAGAAAGGTCGTGATTTATAAGAATCCTTAGCTATACAAAACCCATTAATTGTCATATTAACCAAGATCTCTGAAATGTGTAATTAAATATTTAGTTTTTTGATATACTAGTAGTAGTTTACTAAGTTTAAAAAAAAAGAAGAGAATTTCTAAGTTTCTGAAGCTAAAAGCCGGGATTCGATTCCCCACGATGGAAGCAACAGATAGCCCAAGAGGGTTTTGCGATAAGACAGACAGGTTTCTCAAATGTTGATGTATGCGCCCGATTACAAAAACACGAGACTTTTTTAAAGACATAATATGTTTTATTGTGACATATTCATAACTTATACCCAAAACTGTCAAAATGATACAAGTTTTCAAAACACAATAACATGTTGAATACATGCATATGAATCCTATAATTAATAAATAATTAATCTATCCAGCTACTGTTTCGGTTAAATGGCGCCAAAGGTTGCCTCTCTGTTCTAAAAAGGTTTTTATTTAGGCGAACGTTTTCTTCTATCTCTAAAGGATAATACTTGAAGCAGTGGACTGTATCAAGTTAATTTACAAACAAACGAGGACCTCTCAACGTTCTTCACAGTCACATCTTAGATAGTTGTGTCCAGCTATAGAACCAACTATCATAGTAGTTACGCCTTCAATGTGGAAACGTCCTCTAGAAGCTTTGAGGCAAATAATGAATGACACAATTTATTTTGAAGAACTCAAGCGTTACTTCCTTCGAGGTAATATTTCTCTAAACACACTGTCAAAAACAAAAAAAATGTGTATTGTTATTTATATTCTGCTCGTTTTAGGTAGAATCTTATTTTCTGTAAAGAAGTATTATTTGTTTAGTTCCTGTGCTGTTTGCTTATTACCCAATAAAACATGATGGGCATAGCACAGATAGCCCATTGTGCAGCTTTGCGCTTAGCTAAAAACAAACACTCGCTGAAGCATCGAACTTAAAACAAAAAATATATATTTGTTTTAAGAAACAAATAACTGAGTACATGTGCCGCCCTCTATCAGATATTTTGTTTCTAATTATAATATCTTTTCATTCCAAATAGAGGCAAGGACATGAATTACAACAACCTTTGCTTCGTGAAACCAGTCCTTACTTGCGGAATCACCACATAAGCAGACTTTAGCAGTGTCATTTAGGCAGTACAGATGTACAACTGGTTTTATCATGACGTCAAAACGACCTGTGACTTTTTAAGTTTCATCTTAATTTTATATTTATTTTACAGCTTATAAAATATTTGATTAGTACTAATATGCTGTGATAAATAAATTAAACCCAACAGTTTTATCTTCCTTAAAGTCGCCACCTTAAGAAGATTGATCTTGCAAGTAACGTTAATAATAACATTATTTTCGTAAGAAAATACTAAAACTTGAGATCATATTTGACTCCCGCTAACGAAAGTAAAATTCTGCTGTGTCATCTCGAAGAAAAAATATGTATATAGTTCAAACCACGCATACGTGAGTGAGCGCATCTGTTTGTGTATGATTGAATTACAGACATATTTAGATATTTCAGCATGGCTATGCAATACGTTAGGCAACAGCATACAGTTAGCATATCTGAAAACATTCGACGTTAATTTGAATCTATTTTTCTGTTTATATATCCCAGATAGCCCATTGTGTAGCTTTGTGCTTCAAACAAATAAACAATTATATATCAAGTTATGTATCCACTCGTCCTTTATCAAAGTCGTATCTATAGGAGGGTTAGAGCGGCTTAGTCCCACAAAATCACAATTCTAGCCCTACAGAAAATTGTGATTAAAATTTGATGATTTTCCACATTTTTTAGTATCAAAATAATTTTAAAAATTACCTAATTACATTTACGCATCTTTTAATTTTTTAATTTTAAATGATTATCGTCAGCATTAAAATTACAATCAAATAGTACAAGATCTCTTTATTGATAGTTATAATAAGTAGTATTGGTTAATTTCCCACACTAAGATAATATATCACTGTTAGTCCCTAAAGAGCTAATATTCCCCCCTCTCAATTAAAATGATACTAGACACGGCTCTATTCATTAGCCTTAGCCACCTCTCCAGGACACTACTTTTGTGACAGTTCTCTGGTGCGACAGGAGTAAGTTTACGGATTTACAGCGTTAAAATCCGGCATTTAATTCCCCTCGGTGAACACAGCAGATAGCCCAATATGATTTTGTTCTGATTCCCTGAGGTGGACACAGCAGATAGCCCAATGTGATTTTGTTCTGAAACAAACAACTTCTGTGATATTCTTACGGTCGCATTTACTCTTCTGTTACTGTAATGAGAAATATAATAAACATTTTGTATGTTTATAATCCCTGATTTTAATTAAAAGTCCACTATTGAGAGCATACAGTTGCGGGGGCATACTTACCCCACTGGATAGTACTCTTACTAGTATTCTCTATGTGTATCCGATGTCGTCTAGCATATACATCTTCTTTCTGTAAGCTTGTTTCCACCTGTACAGAACAGGAATCTACGTGGAACGCGTGAATGAACCTTTTTCTCATTTCGTCACACTTGGTTTTCAGTCATGTCTCGCCACGCTATTACAGTCTTCTAGTTTTCACTGATGAATCAACAAGTGTTCAAATCTTTTCTACCTTCCAGCGGAAGTAATTCAGTTGCGTGTAACAAGGATACTACACTTTTACTTTCCGTTTTTGTAAGGGCTATAGGAATGTGCCTCTCTTCTTTATATGCGCTGACAGCATAGGTTTCACTAGAATTATCGTTTTGGAAGTAAAGGTGTTCTAAATAATGAAAAAAAAATGAGCTGATTTTTCAACATTTTCATGCACTCCTCAGCAAACAACATCAGCATTTCGTCAGTGTTAATCAGTATTTATATATTCAATAAGATGTCCATCTTTGAACCGAATAACGAGATTTCGTGTCACTCTTATAACACACTCACAGC